TTAAGATTTCAAGTGGAAGCATAAAATGTATATGCAGGACCAAACACAGTCTGAATGGGCTAAATCCATTTTTTATTTCTACATAGATCAAGGGAATGAGATTTACTAAGATGATGCTTGTTAAATATTCAAATGAGAGCTGGATTTTTGTGCTGTTGCAGGGAAAGCCCATTAGTTGGATTAGCGCAGATCTTTCATACTACTTGGAGGTAGATTTCAAGAGTCTGTTTATGCTTAATGTAATTCTTCTGTTTGTGTTTATTGTCACTAAAAAAGGAAGCAAAAGAGGTGACAGATGTCCTGCAAAATTGAATACATTGTAAAATGCACTGTGATAGCATTGAGTTCATTCCTGCTAAGGCTGAAATGTGAGCTTGGGGCAACATTGAAACTGTGTATTGTGACAAGTCACTTTGAAAAAAATTTTGTGTTGTTCAGGAGTGTTTGGTGATAAGCAGAGATGGAATGATCAAGCAGATCTTCTGGCTTCAGGGAGCATGTGGTATAATAAGAATGATATATACCTCAGAAAGGGAAAACTGCCCTGTTTTAGACTAAGGTTCAAGGAGGGAGAGGTGATCTAACCTGTGGCCTGTGGCATACCTGAAAGGTTTAAGAGTCCTGAGTAGGGTGGGTCTGTTCCTAGACTGGGCTAGGTATGGGGATTATTGGTGGCTTCAGAGAAACTGAACTGCTACACTGGGAGACACTGAGAGGCTTTGAGCAGGAGAATGCTATGACTGCTCTTGCCTTGGTGAAATTAACCTGACATGGGTGGGCAGGGCAGATGAGCTGTGGAGGAGGGGACACTGGTCGAGAGGATATTTTAATAGTTTGGGTAAGAGAGAGAGGGGTGGAGCAGCCGCAGTAAGAATGGATGGGATGACACGAATGCAGCATGGAAATAGAATTGGTAGCATCTAACAGCTTTCAGATGCAGAGGGCTGGTGAGGTGAGAGAGCCTATGACTTCAAGCCTAGGTAATAGGGAAGATAATGGTGCCACTGTCAGGAAAACAGGGAGAGCAGTTTTGAAAGAAGCTAAATGTTGTTGTGAAATTTGGAGCTGAGGACTGTCTACATAATTTTCAGGGCCCAGAAAAAAGTTAAATGTGAGGCCTCATGTTAAACAATTATTAAGAATTTCAAGATGGCAATAGCAGAGTATGGCCCTTCTAAGCATGAACACTGTGTGAATACCCGGGTCATACACCCGTGGAGTCAGCCCTGATTGAGCTGGAGGTGTTGAGATGCATGTGTACCCCACGCCTTTCCTGGGGGAGATGCACCTGCCCCATTTTTGGAATGCTCAAGTAAAAACTCAGAGCAGATTTTCATGTACTGTTGCAGGATGCCACAGAGTGGTGACCAGGGCTGAAAAGGACAAGAATCATAGCAGTCTTTGGAACTGAACTCTATCCCAGTGGGTTAACAGCTAGCTTTATCAAAGGTGAGACATTCCCTAGAACAGGTGTGGAGGCATGAGTCCTCTGATATTTGTCATCAATTGCAATTTGAGTGAAAACTATTAAAGTTGAGAAGAAGGGCCCTCAATCTTCTTGTCCTTCCCCACACCAACATCTCACTCCTCCAAGGGTATAGCTTGAAGATTCCCTGGGCTTTTTTGCATCGAGGAAAGAAGATTATACACTTTTTGGGAGGTATCTGCGGTGTTTTTTTGGACACATTCTTCTAGAGAGTTTTTATGAATGCCACATTGTTTAATAAAAAAAAAATAATTATTTTTTTCCTATTTACTTTTGTCTCTCTCTCTCTTTCTTTTCTTTTCCTTTCTTTCTTTCTTTTCTTTCCTTTCCTTCCCTTTCCCTTTCCCTTTTTCTTTCCTTCCTTCCTTCCCTCCCTCCCTCCTTTCTTTCTTTTCTTTTCTTTCTTTCTTTCTTTCTTTTCCTTTTCTTTTCTCTCTCTTTCTTTCTTTCCTTCCTTCCTTCCTTCCTTCCTTCCTTCCTCCCTTCTTTCTTTCTTTCTTTCTTTCTTTCTTTCTTTCTTTCTTTCTTTCTTTTCTTTCTTTTCTCCTTTCCAGGGTCTCACTTTATTGCCAAGGCCAGAGTGCAGTGGCTGTGATCATAGTTCACTGCAGCCTGGGCTCAAGTGATCCTTCTACCTCATCCTCCTGAGTAGCTGGGACTATAGGCATCTGCCACTACACCAGGCTGTTTATTTTTAATTTTTCATGGAGATGGGGTTCCACTGTGTTACCCAGGCTGGTCTGGAACTCCTGGGCTCAAGCCATCCTCCTGCCTCGGCATCCCTAAGTGCTGGCATTACAGGCATGAGGTACTGTGCCAGGCTTCTTGTTTAATCTTAGTCATGGGTTTTGCCTCATTTTACAGATAAGGAAACTGGGACTTAGAGAGGCAAGAGGCTCAAAATTTCACAGTTACCACTTGGCAGAGCCCGTCTCTGTGATGCTGTCTCTCCTTGCTGGCCACGGAAACATAGACAATCAGAACGCTTAAGATTGAGAAAAACTAAGTCGTAGCTGAGCTAATGTTAAAACAACTTTCTGAGGAAACTAACTGGTTATTTTATTAGGGGCTGAGGGGAGAGAGGTGAGGTGGAGCAGAGAATGTTTTTGAGTCAAAATTGTGCAGGTGGTTCATGCTCCTGACACATGGCCCAGGAGTGCCTGTGTCTGCTCAAGGAGACTATCTGTCTTTTTGTCCCACTGGGCAGAAGGTATTGGGCCGTTGGGTCAGTTGAGAAGAAATCATTTTCCACTTTGTGACTGTGACCAGCCAGCAGGCTGGAAAGAGTGCCAGGGCAACTGGTCCTGCAACTGTCCCAGAGGCTGAAGCCAAGCATGTCCTTCCTGGTTTCTTAGCAGTTCCAATGCCTTGAAGCAGGGCCTGAGGGTAAGGAGATCACTGGAAGGCTGTGGAAGAGAAGTGACACCTGAACGAAGAGTACTGTCTCGCTTTCCTGGCACCCTGCTGACAACTCAGTGGAAATCAGGTGTCAGGCCAGATTCCTGCTGAAGGGCAGATCTTCCTCCCTCAGGCAGGGCTTTTCTGATAGGGCCCTGCCTGACAGGAGGAGGGAAGTTGGGAGGGCACAAAGTAGGGCAGGTGCCAAGTGCAGGATGTCTCTGTACAAAGTGCCTGCTAACTCTGAGAAAGATGCAACAACAGAGAATGTTTTGGAGTTTGAAATCGTCATCGAATTAATTAATTCTGAATTGACGATTCAAATTAATTGATGGGGGAAAATGTCCTTGATATGCTGCTGTTTGTGTATGCAAGTTCAAGGAAATTTTACTGTAAAATTAAAAAAAAAATCTGATTGTCACTCATACATTCTTACCTGTATTTGAATTCCATTTAGTGGCTACACCTAATGAAAAGAAATCTCTGAGTCCTGCTCCCTGTATGTAGCCCAGGTACACAGGGGGTCAGGTGGCATCTGTAGGTGTTTGGGCATCTTTGGGGGTGCCTTTCATGGTGGAATTCTGTCTAATACTCCCTACCCTAAGAGACCCAAAAAAACTGCCAGGTTTCTAACCAAATGATATTTGGGAGAAGGAGGGTGGACTGTAACTTGCTTTAAGATTATGTGCCCTCTGTAGTACGAACATGAGGTGAGGCGTGGTTCTTAATGAGATACCAGTGAGTGCGTATGTATTTATTTCTTAATACCAATGCTCAATGCTTATTTGATGTTAGAGACTGAATGGTAGTATTATGGAAAGCCAGGCATCAATCCCCTGGGCTTTTGAATATAGCCAGATTATATCACTTACCTTGAGGTTGCTGGTGTTTTTGACTGGCTTTATAGATGTGGTTTAAATTTATTTAGGAATTTTCTTGCAGACATAGATTGAATCCTGGTCATTTCTCTTATAGGTATGGTAATAGATGCCTGAACAGGTGAGTAGGGTGGTTTAGGGAGGTGTTCCCCACTTCTGGCTCTCAGACCCCTGCGTGGAGTGTTAGTTATGGTGATGGCGGTGAGTCATTTATGAGGAGATTGACTTCAAGTTGGTGAATCCATACAGTTGCTAAGCTTTGCCTATTATATGGGTGTGATTGAGTGTAATATAATGCCGATTTATTTCAAGACACCTCTGATTTGCCAATAGATTTTTGTCACAGTGTATTTATTTTAATTAAGATTTTCTAGATATTTACAGGAGTCTCCTAGGATAGAAACAGAACAAGTAGAGGACCATGGTTAGGGAGCAGCTACATCCCTGTGGCTGGGTCATGGTCTCCTCTGTGTATTCAGTGGCATATATTATGTAGCGCACAGGACAGTTCTTTAGTGTGGACACTGTTCTCTGCTGGTGAAGGCCTTTGTCAGCTGTTGCCCTCCTCCTCTCCACCTTATGCAAGAAGTGGTAATAATTTATGTTAGGAAACAATGAAAAACATTAGGCTGACCTTTTGTTCAAAATAGGTATTTATGCTTATGAGAATCATCACCACATCTGTACACCCATATTCATAGCAGCATTAACCACAGCAGCCAAGAGTGTACTGATGGATTAATGGGTAAAGAAATGTGGTGTATACACAAATGGAGTATTTTTCAGCTTGAAAAGCAAGGAAATTCTCTCACATGCTACAACATGGATGGATGTTGAAGACATAATGCTAAATAAAATAATCCAGCCACAAAAAGACAACTACATTATGATTCTACTTTATGCAGTATCTAACGTAGTCAAATGCATAGAAACAGAAAGTAGGATGGTAGTTGCCAAGAGCTGAGGGAAGAGGAAATGGGGTATTGCTTAATGAGTATAGGGTTTAAGTTTTGCAAGATGAAAAATTTCTGGAGATTGGTGGCACAACAATGTGAATATACTTAACAGTACTGAACTGTACAATGGTAAGTTCTATGTGTTTTTTTTTTCTTTTTTAAAAATTTATTTATATTTAAGTTTCAGATGTACATGTGCAGATTGTGCAGGTTTGTTACATAGGTATACACATGCCGTGGTGGTGGTTTGCTGCATCTATCACTCCATCATCTACATTATGTATTTCTCTAATGCTATTCCTCCCCAATCCCCCCATTCCCTGCTATTCCTCTCCTAGTCCCCTGCCCCCCAGTCCCCAGTGTGTGATGTTCCCCTCCCTGTGTCCATGTGTTCTCCTTGTTCAGCACCCACTTATGAGAGAGAACATGTGGTGTTTGGTTTTCTGTTCTTGTGTCAGTTTGCTGAGAATGATGGTTTCCAGTTTCATCCATGTCCCTGTTACGTGTTTTTAAAATCACAATAAAAAGAATCATTGTGTTTAAAGTTTCTAAGCCACGTTGACTTGTGCCCATCTTGTCTTTTCCATGGCATTGGCACCTTCCCAATTTTCTCATACTGTGTATCTCACATTCCTTCCTCCTATGGGAATTCCTCAGAATCCAGGTTAGACTTGTTCTGGGATCTCTCACCTGTGGGATCCTGCTGAGACCAAAGGGAAGACTGCCTTTGCCTCTGGGCCCCTGCTGTGGTGGATGTCTACTCTTCACGTCTCCTAGCATCTATGATCTGTTCCTTCCTGGCCCAATAGCTCTCTGGAGATCCAAACGCTGTGTCATTTTCTGCAGCTGCATTGATTAGTTGCATCATTAGGTTTGGTTTAATTGCAGTGACTCTGCTGCTAACGATTTATACAAGGTACAGCAGGAAAAAAGTCTTTGGGTGCTTCTATCTCCCCAAAAGATAAAATGTAATCATTTTTCCATATCATTCGAATTTTTATTGTTAACAAATGCCTGGCATTGTTTTTTGGTGTGATATTAAAGCCCAAAGGGATATTGTGGAACCTGCATATACATAATTTAATGTAGAGCATAGAATTTTAGTGCTGGAAGGGATTTCTGAGAGCTTTAATTTCAACTTCCTTTTTTTATAAAGGAGGAATTTGGGGCCCTGATTAGGGAAGTGTTTAATGGCGAAGCTGGAATCAGGCTTAGGTCATAGTTTGTATTGTGTGCTTTATTTCTCAATGCACCCCCCTGGAATTAATAAAAGTATATCCAGTGCCAGGGATTTGAACACCATTCATTTTAGAGCATAATATATCTATTAGCTTGAAGTCATTGTGCATTCAGTCTGTCAGCAACGAGAAGTAGCTTGTACCTTGTATAAATTCTTCAGACCACATCTGAAGTCCTATATCAGTTACCTTCTCTTTACCCCAGACATGTGCTTCTGATGCCATGTGCAAAAGTCAGCTTTTGCACTTAATGCTTCCAAGGAGCTGGCTATTAGAGGATTGCTGAATTAAAACATTTTGAAAATGGAAAAGTTCTTCTATAACATGACAAAAATCGTCCTTGAATTGACCTTTCTTGGGAAATGATGTTTCATTCACCTTTGACTCCCTCTTCACTTTCCTCAGTTAAACTTGTATGATACTCTTCAGGGACCTTGTACATTACTCCTTGTGAGATTATAAGCTTCCCAAGCCTCCATGTCACCTCTGAGTGCTCAGAGGGACCACCGTTTTTCCCCTCAATCTGGCTGTATTGAATTTAAGTAGATCATTCATAGAGTTGAAGAAAAAGTGTGATCACAAATAAAATGCAGCTTCCTAATGCAATGTGAATAGCTTTTTGTAACCAGATAGAATGAGCCCCACCTAGTTTCATGGGTAGGTGAAATTTGGTCTCAGTTCTGAAGGACAGAGAATTTGTGAAGCCAATTTTAGTAGAGGGAAAATAGCATACCTAGGAAGAAGGCACTATAGAGAAGGGGGGTGGAGGAGGGCAGTGGGCTTTCCTTTTGGAGTGTTTACTTGGCTCATGTGAGCCCTGATGTTCTGCCTCATTCTCCACCATTTGTAATAGTGGGTTCCTCCAGGCCATTCTGTCTGGAAGCATCCTGCTTCCATCCCAGATATCTACAGTTGACTGAGCTAGTGACAGGCCCCTAGTCCAAGATCAGAACCTCTTTCTTGGGAATTCGGACTAGGAGCTGGGAGAGGCACTTAGTTAGCCGGATTTGTGCCATGTGACCTTGGGAGCCGGGAGGTGGACAACCTAGTACCTGCCAGGAGGCTGGAGAAGGGGACGAGAATGGTCAGCAGAGGGTGATTTTCCAATTCTTAGGGCCTTGCCTGGTTGTAGGGCCTGGCTATAGCCCTGCCTGCACACCCATGTCAATATTCCTGTGGCTGCAGCATAGATTCTCTGTAGGTCCCCACTCTCCTCTGGGAAGAAGTGAGGATGGCTCTATTACTTGCATCTACGAGTGTTAAGAATAAAGGGAGCCTCAGGGAGCAGAACGAGGCCTGGTTGTATCTCAGGAGTTTGTTGCCGAGGTTTGGTTTTGATCTCTTTGGAGACCAGGTGGCTTGCTTGGTCCTAGTGTGCCTGGGTCAGTCTGTTCTCTCTGCTGTGACTCAGCACCTCTGGCCAGTCTGAGCTCAGCACCTGAGAGAGGGGATCATTGGTTGGAAGCTTACATATACATTTGGTAAACCTGGGACACCTATGCTGCATTCTGCACTTGGCCCTGTTGTGACACCAGGCAGAGCCCATGTGACGCATGCTCAGACACTTGAGAGGGTGGGAGTGAAGAACCCAGGGTGCTCCAGGGGGCAGGAATATATCACAGGGAAGGTGATGTGGAGTTGGGTGGACGAACCTGCCTGGTGGACAAGGGGAGCATCTAGGCAGGGGTAGAGGGTGTGTCAGGTGGAGAAGAGCATGACACAGGGGATGCAGGGAGAAGTCCAGAGCAGATGGCATTTGAGACAGAAGGGGAAGTACAGTTGCCCTCACAGGCAGAAGCTAGGTCACAAAGCATCTTGGGAGCCTGGCCGAGGCTTACTCTTTATAGGTATGGTGATCGCACATCTTACTGTGTCAGGGACAGTCCCGGTTTATGCCTGTTATCCTGGTATAATGATGAACAGGGCCCCTCTTTTACTCTCAAAAGCACCTAGGTTTGGTAAGAAATGATATCTTTGTCCTACTTTTAGATGATGGGACCCACTGAAGGATTTTAAACAACAGAGGGACAGGGTGAGATTTCGAGTTAGGGAGATGATTCAGGAGGCCGGGAAGAGATGGAGGGGCAAGAGCATGACTGGAAGCCAGATTAGAGAGAAGGGCCTTAGCAAAGCAGTGGTAATACAATAGAAGAAGACAATGGTCATGTGAAAGCTGGCAAGGAAGTACACACCACGGCCCTTGGTGAACCCACAGCTGTCTGGAGAGGGGGCTGGTGAAGGTAGCTGAATAAGAGCAGGCATTGGCAGGGGTGCAGTTGAAGTTTGTTTTAGGTCTGTGGTTTAGGGTCATGGGGAAGCCGGACAAGGAGTCAAGTATGGACTGAAAGTAGTGGTCTGGGGCCCAGGAGAGAAGACTGGCCTGGGACAGCCATCTGGAAGTCATTTGGTTGTGAGTGAGAACTGGATCCATCAGTGTGGATGCTAATGTTCAGGGTGAGTGGTGTCACGGAAGAAGAGAACAATCAAACACTAAGCCTTTGTTTAGGGATACCAGTGTTTAAGAAAAAGGCAAGAAGAAATGAGTGCACACAAACGACACTGAGAAGGACTAAGGAGAGGGTGGAGGAGACCTCAGGGCATGGCAGGAATAGCTGTTATCATGGATTGGAGATCTCCTGTGATTCACATACTATGCTGAGAACTCCAGGTCCTCACATTGTAAACCTGCAACAGTCTTGCAGGTGGGTGGAATTAGCCATGACTTAGGGGCTCAGAGTTTAAATAACATGTCCAAGTTTAGCTGCTGAGCCAAAGTGGCAGACCTGTTTTTTTTTTTTTTTTTTTTTTTTTTTTTGTTGTTGTTGTTTTGTCAAAGCCCATGTTCTTTTCCACCCCATGGGGGACTGGTGGTGGTAGAAGAGATGGACGCTCCAGAGTCCAGAAAACCTCCTCCTTCAGGGGACCTCAGCAACTTGGGAAGATGTCAAATTAGAGGAACTTGACCATTACAGGTACCAGTGAGAGGGAGGCCACTGGGCTTATTTCTCTGTTGGCCCCACTGAGCAGGTCACATGACAGAGACCTGGACAAGAGGCTGTTTAAAATGGAACATGAAATACTATGCCAGGGATTTAATTGCACCATGAATTGTGGCCAGAAGAGGAACCTAGCAACAAACTCATTTTCTGTTGGGCACAAGGCACAGAGGATCTACTATAATTATTTCTGTTTTTTTCCTTGTTGGCACATGCCTCCCTATTTATTATTTCCTTCCTTGAGTGCACATGATGGATCAGCTTTTATCTAAGATACTGGTGTTAGAATCACACAGCTGCATTGTGAAGAGTTTGCGGGGTCCTCAGTGTGAGTGTGGGCACACACCCTGAGTCTGACATTTATGGAGCACTTACTGTGTGTGCAAGACAGTGTACCTGAGTGTTGTACATGCACTGTCTTATTTAATTCTTGGCACAACCATGAGTTAGGTAATATTATCTTCATTTTAGCAGTGCAGAAACAATACTAAAGGAAGTCAGCAATTTGTACAAGATCTCGTGGCTAAGAAATGGCAAATTGGAGAGTTGAACCCAATTCTCCCTGGACTTCCCAGTTATTCTCTACATCTTCCTTCCTTTGCTCTGGACTGGTGTCTTATCCAAGTCAGAACCTCCTTGGCCTGCATCTTTTTTTTCCACCCTAAACTGTGATTGTTCTTGAAGACTGTGAAGGGCTAGCATGACTGTTTAAAAAGTAACTGGTTGAATGACCCAAAACATTTCAAACAACCCATGAAGAAGCCTTAGTCTGCAGCTGGACTAGCTGAGGTCTTGGCATTAGCTGAAGTCCCAGGAGGAGTGGATCACGATCTGCAGAAATGTCATCAGTAAGTGAGCACTCCAGGCCTGTCACTGACAGGCTTTGTTCTTTTTGCCTCTTTAGAAGTGGAAGGAAGCTATTTCTGAGACTCAGGAAATTGTGATGCTATCAGACACCCAGAGGCCTTTACGTGTGGCTCTGGGGCCCTTTCTTCTTGCAGGGACATGTTTTCTGGTTCTGTTGGAAGCTCTGCACTTGCCTAGAGAGCTGGAGTGAGTGTTCTTTTAAAAGGCAACGTCTTAGTACATAGACAGAAACATTCCTTTTGTTTGAGACCTCTTGCTTATGGATTTTCTTTTGTTACCAGGGAGGGTCTGTGCTCTTTTGCTAATGAATTATCCAGGAGTCAATGGCCCGTGCACAATGGATTGGTGTTGCCATCCATGCATCATAAGACACAGCTGCCAGCCCTGTGTGGCTGGGACCCAAGGGTCAGAGCCTCTAGAGTGATTACAAAGCTCTGCCATTAGCCACTTTTCCATTCCCTTTCTGTATGCCAGGCAGCCCTGCAAATACGCATTTGCTCACTTGCCTGGTGTGAGCAGTGGTTTAAGCCTGGCGGGTGGCTAAGATGGCTGATTTGATTTATCTTACTAATAGTATGATTTCATAAAAGTTGGAATCATAGACTTAGAGCCAAAAGTAACCTTGGTCCAGTGCCTTTATCCTGCAACTGAGAACACCACAGCTGGAGAAAGGTGGTGATTTCCTTGGCTAGGTCATGAGGAGACTCCAAGGTGACAGCTGAGGCAGTAGCCTCTGTCTTGTACCCTGGTGATTTTTCTCTGCTGCCACTTCAGATGTCTCCATGGAAAATGCTTCCAAGGCTGGTCCCATTGCCTAAGAGAATTGGAAAAGAAGATTATAAAGAGATTGGAGAAACCTCATCGGTTTTCCAGTGGCTGTTGGTGGGTTTCTTCTCAGCCACTCTGATGTTGAGTCTGATTATGACTCACCTATTTCTATCCAGAATCACAGGAAGAGTTGTGATGAATGCTCAATCACCTGCAGACAAGTGAACGAGCATCAGTTGTCATATTAGAAAACTCCTTTACTCCTCAGGTTATTAAAGAACTATTACTGCCCTCCAACAGTCATGTAATAAGTGAAGCCTCCCAAGGCTGAATGGCAGCAGTAAGTGCCTTATTTGCACCTAAGGATTTGCTTGCTCTCTCAGCAGGATCTGGGTCAATAGAAATTATTTTCATAAGACATTTATCTTTCTTTACTTACATTAGACAGGCTTTTTTTTTTCTGGAACTTGCTTTGGAAGCAGTAGGCTTTGGGGAAAAAATAAAACTGGCAGATTATAAGAATAAAAGCTTAAATCAAGTTTAGATATAAAAAATAAAATATAACTTCGAGGGAACCACATCACGACACCATTTCCATTTATATCAACACTTCACCATAATGTGGTTTAGACTCAAAATTTGATTCTGAGTTCTGTAAGATGATTGCTCATAGCAAGGCACAGTTATACCCACTGGATGGTGCTTACATTGGAGAGACCATTTAAAAAAGGTCATGAACAGCAAGTGGCAGGGGTCAACCTTTGACATAATCAGATTCCATATGAGAGTCTGTTACATAATCATTCCTGTTGCTCTTGGCTTTGCTCTTTAATGAACACCCCTCCAAAGCTAGCTGTACAGTACATATTTTTCCTACAATTACATTCTTGGGTCATGCAAACTTATTTCTTCTCTCCCTTTCTCTCTTCTCCCTTTCTGTTTCTTTCTCTTTCCTCTTTCCTTCATTTCTTCTCTATTTTCTAGGAGCTTTTCTCAAGTTTACCTTTCAACTCTGTTAAGTTTTCCATGTCTGTAAATATACACAAATATATGCATGTACCTTTCCAAGCCTTTTTTCTTTTGTCTTTCCAGATGTTTTTAGTTTGTCACATTATTCCTATTTCAGGGGTACTATATCCTTTCTTATCTCTCAAAAAATATTCATGGTAATTATTTTAAAGATTTTTCCCCCTCCCTGCAGAGTCTTTTTTCCTCCAGGCTCTTTTCCCCTCTATTTTGATCTCCGTTTTCCCCGTGAAAGGTGTTTCCTCCAATGTCTGATAATACTCAGTTGTTGGTTCATCTGTAAGAGGTACTACAAGGCTGTTTGGAGGCTTTGATGTGTGGGTGGGGCTAGTCGACTCTGAGCTTCACCATAGGGTGATCTGGCTGGGCTGTTTGATTGAGAATCAGTGTTGGTATCTTTAGGTCTCTCCTCTTAGGCTTCTCAGACTCCTCAGAGAAGATGCATATCATTGCTCACCTGTAGAGTGAAGGGCCAGCTGTTTTTACTGGGAGCCAGTGAGGATGAGAGAGTTGTGTTTGTGTGTTGTGGGGTGTGTGTCTTGGCATCCCCTTTTAATACTCCTACTTTAAATGAGGTACCCCAGCTTTAAACTTATGCCCTCAATTAACAGACCCTGTGATGTACCAGTTAATAAACTCCCTGTGTTTTGCCATGGTAGAGAAGGAGCAGGCAGCTCTGTTGTGCAGAGTGGCAGAGGAGGTCTAGGGGCCTGACAGCTTCTTGATCAGAGTTGCATTCAATTTGTCTTACTTTAGACCCCCTCACCCCATACCTCTGGAGGAATCTATTAATAATAGCATAAGCTCCTCAGCCTTTTGAGACTCACAGTGTTAAATGGATTGATCCTTATATCTCCCTTTGCTAGTTTACACTTTAGTGTCCTCAGGTCAGCAGAGACTTTAATGAGTGAGAAAGCCCAGGGCAAGAGAAGAGAAGTGGCTTGTCTGTCGTCACAGAACTTGTTAGGGCAGAAGCTGGTGTAGAAACTGGGTCTTCGGACTCTTCATCCATCATTGAGACTATCCTGTGTACTTCACCACTGTGTCACACTCACATCCACACACGATCTCCCCATCCTCCATCTCTTCATTGCCCTTCCTCCCCCTCTCCATTTCATGTGACTGCCACACTAATCCTATGAGTTAGGCTTGATTATCTTGATTTTACAAATTAGGAAACTGAAACTCAGATGGTATAATTTGCTTGTGGCCAGAGCTATCTGGTGGTAGAGCCAGCGTTTGACTCCAAAGCATGTGCTCTTTACTGCTGCATTGTAACCTCTTATGTCACGTGTTGAGCTGCTGAGCCCTCTCTAAAAAAACCAATCTGTAAAATTTACTTACTTTTATCATGGACTTTTACAGCTGACTTGACTTGAAAAACTTAAGTAGTGGCTATTTTCCTTGTGATTGGGAAGCCTGTCTAGTCTACCTCCTCCTGCTCTCTCTACAATTCAACAGCCTGCCTGCCAGTTCGTTTTGGCCAAGAAGAGATTCTACCTTCCTTTTTGAACCTATAGGTGGGAATTCGGGCAGACAGGTTATCAGGTTCAGCTTGGTGCATGTGTGTGTGTGTGTACACATGCAAATATCTCCAAATGAAATTTTAGAAATCAAGTTTTCTTACAAAGGTAAACAGTGGTGGTAGATTGGTCAACACATTCTAAGAAGGAAACTAGCTGCGGACATTCCCTTCTGGGGCAGGACTGGGATCACGGATTTGAGGACTTGCATTTCTCCTCTGGGTTATTTAGGAGGTACACCCAGGAGCTGCTTGCCTTGGGTTTTCTCTGTTCCTTGTAATGTTCCCTCTGTTAGGCAAGGTGTCACCCTGGAGATTCCTCTCCCTTTCCCACATGCCATTGATCTGCAAGTCCTCTCATTTTATCTTTAGTTATATTAATCCAAATATATCTTGAACTCATCTACTCGCATCCATTTCCCCATCTCTGCTTGGGGGCAGACTGCCATCATCTCCTGCCTGGACCCGTGCAGGTGCCTCCAGTTATTGATCACCCTCTCTACTCCCTACTTCTTTTCTCACTGGCCTCTTACCTCTCTCTCCCTTCTTCTTGTCTCTTTAAAAAAGCTCACAATGTATTCAGCCTAAAAGAGAAAATTCTGACATATGCTATAACATGGATGAACTTTGGGGCCATTGTGCTAAGTGAAATGAGCCAGTCACAAACAGACAAATACTGTTACGATTCCACTTATATGAGATTAGTCAGAATCACAAAGACAGAGAGTAAGGTGGCAGTTGCCAGAGGCTGACTTGGGAGACGGATGGGTGGTTACTGTTTGTTGGATATAAATTTCAATTTCTCAAGATGGAAAAGTTCTGGAGATTGGCTTCAGTGAATCAACTTAAAACTACCAAATTGTGGACTTAGAAATGGTTACAATAGTTTACAATAATCTGTACATTTCAAAATAGCTAGGAGAGAATAATTCAAATGTTTCTAGCATATGTAAATGACAAGTATGTAAGGTGACAGCTACCTCAAGTGTGCTGATTTGATCTTTACAAATTATGTGAATGTGTTTGAATGTGTTAATTTATCACATGTATTCCATAACTTTGGACATCTATTCTGCATCAATTAAAAATTGTTTAAAAATGGCTAAGATGGGAAAGTTAATGTATATTTTACCACAATTAAAAAAAAAAACTACAGGATTTGTTTTAGAGGTGATAAAAATGTTCTGAAATTTATTGTGGTGATAGTCGCACAACTCTACTAAAACCCATTGAATTGTGCACTTTAATTGGGTGAATTGTATGGTACACGGACGATAATCTCAATTGCAAACCTGCTTTTTAATATCCATCAGGGCTGACCTCTGTTTCCCCTGTGCTCCTCTGCAGGGACTCAGAGATGGTTTTCGCGAGGAGATAGATCTCTCTCTTGGCTCAGTTCCAAAGGCTAGTCAATCCGTCCCAAACTGAAGTTCCCTAGAAAGACTTTGGTTTGTTTATATCCACCTCTTAGGATGAGATGGAGGACCAGGAGTGGTGGGAGAGAGTGTACCATAATGGCAGAACTATCAGAGGTAGTTATATTATTATTTTAAGATGATTTATTATTCTTTGAAAATGCAAAATTGGCACTGAGCATGAAAGAACAATTGTGAGTCTGCTACATAGTCTAGCCCTCCAGTTCTGTACTGATACTAGGGCTTTTGGACCCATTTGTCATTCATTCATTCATTCAGGAAGTGTTGAGCCCTCTCTGTCACACCCTGAAGAGAGATAGGCATATCTTTCACGATGTGGTATTGAAATTCAGGGGTACAATCTAAGACTTTGCTTGGTGTAGTTTGCTTAGGAGTAAAAATGTATAAAACACACAGGAATAGCACAACAGGAAATGTTGCAGAATCCATATGAGGAAAATCACAAAAATTTACTGACTGCCATAAAAGACTTCAGTAAATGGAGATGTGCGCTGCCAGTTTCTCTCTGTGTGATAAAGATGTCAGTTCTTTGCAAAGTAATGTATCATTTCACCCCATTCCAATCAGCATCTCAGCTGGGGTTTTCTTTCTTTCTTTCTTTTTTTGGATTGTGTCAAATTATTCTCAAATATGAATACACTGGCTGGAACTGCTAAAAAAAATTTTTTGGAAACGATGCATAATATAGGAGATTTGCATTTCCAGATATAAAATGTACTCAAATGATGCTAATTAAGACCACGTGGTTATTGCAGGAACATGCCAGTGCATAGAATGGAATAGTCTAGAAACAGAGCCGAATTTGAAAGAGGGTTTAGTGCATGATGGAGAGAAAGAATGAATTATTTAATATATCTAAATTAACTACTTGGAAAAAATAGGATTAGAGTCTTTCCTTACTCTATGTACACAATAAATTTTGGTTTGATGCAAAAATTTTAATAATAAAGAGATGAAAAGTAGGAAAAATTGTGGGTAACTTCCATATTAGGGAAGTCAACAGAAACAAAATGTCACTGGAGGAAAATGACTCATCGCTCCATATGAAATTAATTTTTTTTGAGACGGAGTCTCTCTCTGTCGGCCAGCCTGGAGTGCAGTGGCACAATCCCAATTCACTGCAACCTGTGCCTCCCATGTTCAAGCAATTCTCCCTTCCTTAGCCTCCCATGTAGCTGGGATTACAGGTCTGTGCCACCATGCCCAGCTCATTTTTATATTTTTTAGTAAGAGATGGGTTTTTGCCATATTGCCCAGTCTGTCTTGAACTCCTGACCTCAGGCGATCTGCCTGCCTCAGCCTCCCAGAATGCTGAGATTACAGTCATGAGCCACCATGCTTGGCCAACATTAATGTTTTCATAAGTTAAAAAAAAAAAAAAAAACTCCCCCAAGAAATTAAAATTAAGATGCTGCTAAAAAAAATCTTAGAAAAACATATGCAACAAAGCATTAATTATGTTAATATATAAAAACAACACTAGAAACTTAGTGGGAAAATTGGCAAAGGAAATAAGGTGGCAATTAATAGAAGAAATACAAATAGGCAATAAATATGAAAAAAATCTTAAACCTTTCAATGCCTCCCACTTAAAGAAATACATTTTATAGGATGGCTTATATGTGCTCCTTAAGAGAATCATGTTTTCAATGAACCCTTAATATCCTAAGGAAATGAGTTTAATATTAAGTGGAAACAATAAGAGACAAAATAGTATGTCAAAAATCTGTAAAACAAAGAGAAACAGAAAAAAATTGGTAAGACATCATTGAAAGTTTAGTAATGCTGTTGGAAAGGAAAAAGAAGAGTTTTAAATTTAAGCTTTCATTACACCATTGGTAGAAATGTAGATTGGCATAACTTTTAGATAAAGCAATTTGGCAGGTCTTATTAGGAACTTTAATGAGTCAATGAATGCCATCCAAGAGTTTATTTTTGAGAATTTCTCTTAAGGAATTAATTAGAGATACAACCTTAGGTTTGCCTATGTGAATGTAAGTCAGTTTATCGATGAAAGTTTAAAAATTGGGAACAAGCTGTAAATCCAGCAGCGAGAGGTTATTTAAAGAAGTTGCATTGAATGTACTTGATATAATGTTTAATGATAGTATAAGATGTAAGATTATAAATATAATCTTATATATATTTTATATATATTTATATCACATCGTGATAAAAATATGTAAGCTTAGAAAATACATTGGAAGTAAGGAGAGCAAAGTGTTAATTGTGATCATGCATGGTTAGAGGGATTGTTGGAAATTTTAATTCTCTTTGTTTCTTTATGTTTTCCATATTTTCTTCCTTGAGCACATATTACTTTTGTAATCAGAATCTTGTCTTCATGGAATACTTAGTATTTAAGCAAACAGTTCATTGATGTTTCAGGAATTATACAAATTCTCCAGGCTACTGATATTTAGCAGTTAGCATTCTTAAGAAATGGAGAAAGGAAATCTTTTTCTCAATCACTTTTAAGGTTTATACCTACTTCCTTGAGATCTAATATAGTTTGAATGTGAGACCTGAAAGGTAATGGTAGGAGAGTTCTCATTTATCCTGCAGATCTATTGAAGATCATTGGAATGGGGGATGCGTTTTAGGAGTTGAAGTAAATTCTATTGTGAAGGACTGAAGATCAATATAGAAATGTCTCTTTTTTTTTCAAATGACAGCTGAAGAAGAAAGATAGATCATTACTCTCTGCCTATTTGGAGGCTCTTCACGAACTGCTTTTAAAAATCAGTGCTCGGTTCAGCAACTTTGCCATTTCTTCAGTTGGCCAGTTTTGGTGGATCTGTTTAATTAGATTTAAACATGGCATCTGTAGCCCCAATAAATTCAAATAATTAAGCTTCATGATTTCTTGTGTGTTATAAATGTCACTAAAATTGGTGTTGTGGAACAGATTATTTCTTTGGTAATTGTAATTTTTGTCATGAATTGTTTGATCATTTATAGTGATTAGAACTTCGAAATAATTCCTTAAAATGGTACTCAATTGAATACATGTTGTTTTTTTTTCCCCTTTGGATTGAGTCTCCTTGTCTGTTTTTCCTCCTCGAATATTTGTGCTAGTGTGCTTTCCTTCCATATAGGAAAGGATACAGATAAATACTTTCAAAGTGTACAGTGCTCAGATTTAGAGTTGTCCTGGGAGGGTAGCCTCAGTGTTCCTTTAGAAGGAAAGCTCTGTGCTAGTTGGTTGGATTCCATCTGGGAGTATGCATGATAAAGGTTTTTGGGAGGTTAGGACTGGCCTGTGGTGTCCATCAATAACCAAAGACCTTTTGAGATGTTTTCCTGTTTTCTATGGCTCCTTAGTCTCTTAGGAAGTAACCTAGACAATAGTGACATGGAAGAGGTGGTTTTGGAAGTCAGATGGGGCCTCTTTTTTCTGATCATTATTGCTAGACACTTGGAGGATTCTACAGGTCCTCCAGAATGCTGGTCAGTGATTGAATTGACAATTTTGAAAGCCTGATGTGTGTTAAGAGAGTCCTAGATGCTGTGGATGCAAATACATCTTTATCTCCTGCCCTCCTCCATGAAATAAAGATGGACCTTCACTGCCTGGTGACTCGCAGTTGCCTTTTCTGTTTACCCTAATGCACAGTTCCCCCCAACCAAACAAGATGCTCTGCTGTCTCTGCTCACATTGCTCCTATTTCTACCTGGAATCATCTATAACATTCCTTCTGTTTCAGCAATAAAAGTTCTGATTTTTCAAGTCCAGCTCCATTTCCATCTCTTCTCTGGAACTTTTATCAGACCCCAAAGCCAGCTGCAGTGGCCCTGCTCTCAAGATTCTGCATTTGTCTGTAACTCCCTTCAAGGCAGGTGCTACATCTTACCTTGTAGTGTGGCTATTTGTTAACATCTTTTTGCCCTCCACAGGGCAGGAAACCATTTACCTTTGGTTTCCTAGAGAATGAAGTAAATATGCTTGTCGGCTGGATGGGTGAAATGCCTTTTAGATAGGTTGATCTAGGACAAATATGCAGCGGGGGCAAGCATTTCAGCAGTTGACCCAGGGTTGTACTCAGCCAATGGTATTGTCTGACAACTTACTAACTTACTGAAAACTCAGTAAGATGATAATATCAGTATTAGGATCAGTAATGCAGGTCTTCATTTTATTTCATTTTAAAAATTCAATACAATGTAACATAAAAGTCACCATTTTAATCTGTGAACTTCTGTGGCATTAAGTATATTCACACTGTAGTACAATCATCACCACTGTCTAGCTCCAGAATTTTTTTCATCTTGCATAATGGAAGCACTGTTCTCCTTTCCTCTCAGCCCCAGGTAACCACCATTCTACTTGCTGTCTCTGTGAATAGTTTGACTACCCTAGGTGCCTTACAAAAGTCAGGCAGGAGTTATAACATCATCTGTCTTTGTGTGTCTGGCTTATTTCGCTTAGCGTAATGTCTTCAGGGTTCATCCATGGTATGTCATATGTCAGAATTTCCTTTTTTAAGGCTGAATAATATTTCATTATATTATATGCTACACTTAAAATATCTTTTCACTGGTCAGTGGACACTTGGGTTGTTTCTACCTTTTGGTTATTGTGAATAATCCTTCCGTGAGCATGGATACAGATACCTTCTCAAGTCCCTGTTTTCAGTTCTTTTGGGTATATATCCAGAAGCGGAATTGCTGAGTCATGTGGTAATTCTATATTTATCTTTTTGAGGAAACTCAGTGCTGTTTTTTCATAGCAGCTGCATCATTTTATGCTCCCACCAGTGGTGCACACTTTTTCCATATCCTCACCGACACTTGTTATTTTATGGGTTTGTTTTTGTTTTATGTAATGACCATCCTAAGGGGTGTGAAGTGGTGTCTCATTGTGGTTTTGATTTGCATTTTCCTAATGATTATGGTTATTATCTTTTCGTGTGCTTATTGGCTGCAGTTTATCATTTGAGTAGCTATTTAGCCAGACATTACACAAAAACTCTTTACATGCACTGTCTTAGTTCATTTTTTTGTTGCTGTAATAGAATAGCCAAGACTGGGCAATTTATAAAGAAAAGAGGTTTATTTGGCTCATGGTTCTTCAGGCTGAGAAGTTTAATGGCATGGCCTTGGTTTCTGGTGATAGCTTTTAAGCTGCATCATAATATGGTGAGAAGGTCAAAGGGGAAGTGGACACCTGCAAAGAAACAGAACCAAAGCGACATCCTGGATTTATAACAATCTACTGTTGCAGGAACTAATTCATTTTCCTTGAGAAACAGTCCAGTCTTGCCAGAGGAAGAACTTAGTACATCAAGAATGACACTAAGTCACCTGCCAGAGTGAGACCCAAACACTCCCCACTGGATCCTGCCTCCCAATACTACTATATATGGGGATCAAATTTCAACATGAGTTTTGGTGGAGACAAACCATATCCAAACCATAGCACACACCATCTCACTTATTCCTAACAGCAAACCTGTGGAATAGGCACTTCTAGTAGATTCATTTCATGGAAAATAGAAACAGAACTCTGAGCAGTTAAATAACTGGTCCAGACCCATGCAGCCAGTGAGTGACTGTGCTAGTACACAAATCCAAGTGTGTTCAGTTCAAGACTAGGTGCTTAATCATCTCTTGAGCCATGCATTTCAACACTGTTTGGCTGTAACAGAAAACCTCTCCTACACTGGTTTAAAGAATGAGGAGTTTGTTTTTCATACTTAATAAGTAGTCTGAGGGATATAGCTGCTGTCCTTGCCTCATCAGCTCAACAGCATCAGGGCTAACATCTGATTCTCTGGGTCTTTCCTTTATGGCTCCCTCATTACTTCCTGTTTGTGGGATGGCTGGTACAGCTCGAAACATTACATCTATGGTGAAGATGGGGAGAAGAAATGAGGGCCAAACTAGCTGGGACTGTCTTTAAAAAAATTAAAGCAAAAGCTTTCCTAGAAGCCTCTGAACAGATTCCTGCAGACATTGCTCTGGCTAGATCATCTGATGACCCCTCAGTGTAAAGGAGGCAAGTGGGTGGCCAACGCTGCCATCTCTGTAGTGAAAGACGGCAAGGGAAAAGGTATTTGCAGTGGCTTTTGGGCAGCCACTCAGCAGTCAGTCATGGCATACATTTCTAGAGAGATCCATGGTTTATTTTTTCCTAATTAGAATTCTAAAGCCAAAATGAATGTGATTAAGTTCCTCTGCCGCATTTTAACTGGAAACAAATTTCATGTCAAAATCTTCTCTGACCAAGGAAGGCATATGCAAAGATAATGACAATACCAGGAGAGGTGGATAAAAGATTTAAGTCCAAATCACTTAGTAGACTGTAAAGGACTATACAAATGCAGTTTTGCTAGGCTGGAAGCTTCCTGTGTCTCATCATCATTGCTGAACCTCCAGGGTCTAGCACAGGGCCTGAAACATCATGAGCAAAATAAATAGGTGATTACAGAATTGGCTGAAGCATCATTTTAATATGCCAGTGGTAGAAAAGCTTCCAGGACACCCAGCTGTCCTGGATGAGGGAAGGAGAAGCTGTCTGTGAATTGCTGAGTATGAGTTGGGGTGATGGATAATCTTTTTGCGCCCCCCACCCCGCACCCCGTGACTAGAGCCTTCGGTATATTCTATAATAATGCTATAGGTACATTTAAATCAAAATTTAAATTCCAAGTAAATACACTGCTGGCAGAAATCAGTTAGCCAGCAGTGCCATCTTTTTAAGATGCATCACCTGCCATGTGGCTCTGTGTACTAGAATGTTGAACATACCTCTGTGTAGTAAGATTAGTATCATGTGTTTATCATCCTCATCAAACACTGTTTACTAGCTGCCTGGGGGAAACTTCTCAATGTGAAATGCTCTCCTGCCTTCCTAAGTACTTGCTATTCTGGCCTGGATTGAGGTGGACACATAGGAATTGAAGACACACTTCACAAGCTGTCCTAGAAACAACACATCTTTACAGAGACCACTCAGGCCAAGGTCCTGCCCCAGTCACAGTGTGCACATAGCCTTGCTTAATTTATGCCACAGCTTTGAGTAGTTTGAGTGGTCAGTCCATCCAGGACTTGACTA